AACCATCTTGCAGTGCTTTTAATTTTCCAATTTGCTTGAGCTTTGCAAGCTGGTTTCGCGTTTGTTCTTCTTGGCAATGCGAAATGAGTGGACCTTGATTGAAACTGTCGCCTACCACTTAAAGGTTCAAATCCCCAGACATCTTGCAAGAGCGCGGGGTTGTAGGTTTGCGCCAGCTTGGGAATAACGGGAATGGTAAGCCATGCCAGCCTGTGATTCGTTTCATGAGCCATGTGGCGCAATATGTTGTTGCAGTATGTGGTTCGTGCCAGTGTCCGTCATCCTTGTGCGCAAACATTGTTTGTCAATTGAGTAACCGCAGATTCTTGTGCAAGATGCAGACAAATCGGGCAGGGGTGATGAGTCAGAAGATTGATGACACTGGTTGGGGCTGGCGTTACGTGCGTGACAAAAAACTCACAGGTCCTAAACAGAACCACTTGCGGCCATCCTGCTGGCTCGATTGCTTGCGTGCTTCTGGGAAAGTGAGAGGCAACTGCTGTAAAATGCCACAGCCAAGTCTAGACTTCCAAGCTTCAATATTTGTTGGATAAGGAAAACATGTTGCCAGTTGAACAAGTCAATGCACATAATGCGCATCACGCGGCGGTGTATGCACTGCCCCACGTTAATGCGCATAGCCACAGAATGATTCCGCAGCCCATGGCATGAAGTGACGACTCGCTTGTGCCCCCAAGCGGCATTTGATGTGACGCGAGCGTCTGACATTGGGACAGGGCGTAATGGGAATCAGGACCTGGACAACTTTTCCCGCGCCAGTTGCGTGGTTGATCCCAATTTTGGTTGGTCCATCCAGCAATTTGCAATTTGAACAGAGGCCTCATGTTGCTTCGCCCAAAAACAAGAGCAAGGGGAAAGGGACTTGATACGAGAAACCTCGACAGGTGCGCCATGGGCGAGGTTCGTGCCAGGAGACCACCGGCGACTCGGCATGTCAGTGGGGGTTGGGGTACTGATGGACGAAATCCTGCACCTAAGAAACTCATGGTTTCCAGGTGGAACGGATCCACAGCGTTTTTCCCCAGCTACAAGGGGTTTGGGCTGAGGTCGGGCAGAGAAAGGTTCTCAGAACCCTCCAATAACCTCTCCTGCTAAGGGGGATTCTTCATAGTCGGGAGGCATCATAGACCACACAAACCTATAAATGATTTGGCTGTGGCTCAAAATTAAAGAGCTAGGGTTACGCAGGTTTTGGTCCATGTTTCCAGTTACCAGGGTTCCATTTTGGTACCGGTTTTTGAGCCATACCCATTTGTGTATCGTGAAACAGAAGTTCCTTGCCTGCAGCTTGCCCATGCCCATGGTTTGGGGACCATTGTCTGCGAGAAGTTATGACATGTGACCATGGCAAACCTTTTGTGAGACCGAGATTACAAGGAACCTCCAGTTGTGCTCAAGAATGCTTGTGAACTTGAGCAGCGACTTACTCAAATTAAACACCTGCAAAGCCGCGTAGTTCTGGGCAGAGCCGACTCTCCACCACTGAGGCGGGCCGCTTCGACGAGAGGAGTTTCTCTCGCGCGGACGAGGAGACGCTGCTGGAGGACCTCGCGCGGCTGAAAAGCCAGTCGGGGGCCCAGAGACGCGGGGAAATTTATGGCTCGTCCCTTTTTTAGGAATCGGACCTTCTCCCCCAAGGGTTTTTCTTTTGGCCTCCCTGGACAACCAGCCAAAAAGGGGGTTCCCCGAAAATAGAGACACACCCATGTTTCGGGGCCAGAAAAGGTGACTTGAATCGCTCACTCCAACCCCCTCGTGCTTGCATGGCACAATGTTCACAATGGTACAGACACATCCCCATGGCACCAAAAGGGAAACCCAGTCCTTTTGGTTTTCCTTCTTGTACCAAAGGGGCCCTTTTTGGACATTGAAAAATCGGCGTGTCCGAGGCTTGCCACCCTGAAGCGCGAAGGCGCAGAGGCCAGGCCATCGAAAGGCGCAAGGCTTGCCAGGACCTAATCGGGTGCTGTTGGTATGATTGGAGCCCCTTCTATGGCATGGAGTGGAGTTGGTATTGTTGAACCGAGCGGCTGACTCTTTTGCTGTTGCCATTCTTGAAGCGAACGCGAGTGGAGTTGGTCAGGCCAAAGAGCTTCTCCGCACTGCAGAGCGCGAGAGCGCCAAGAAGGACAAGAAGCTGCAGGCGCGAGAGCGCGGGGTAACTCGGGGTTCATGTTTAGTAAACCCCGGTCAAATTCTTAGGGCAGCTTTAAATCATATTGAATGGGGGTTGAGCGTCTCTCCGACCGAGGTTTGCTTTTTGCTTGTCCAATCTTGGCCCTTTGCTCGCCGAGAACAAATGATTCAGGTTGAGTTGCTTCGCCCAAATCGGCTGGTTCCCTTTTGTCTCCTTGGCACGGACTGCCCAGGAGCTCCTGTCTGCGGCCAAGGCGGGGGAGTAGGGGGTGTTGCGTCCCCGTAGGAACATCCTACTGTTGCCTGCGTCCACATCGCGCCATGAGCACGCCCTATCCAGTTGAATCGACTCCGAGTACGCCCCTCTCAGTTTAGAGGCTTCATCAGACGGAATTTTCTCAACGTGAACCACTTTTTGTTTGTTGGCTGAAGGGAAGCCCAAGCAAACATTTCGGAGGGTCCCATGGAAGGAATGCCCATCCCACATTTCCTTGGTGCACAGAACCAGCACTGCCAGCCCTTCTGAGCGTTGACAATCCGTTCTCTGACTTGAGCCGTCATGTCACTCAGATGGCACCCTGTTGGTTTCCGTGGGTGGTCAAAGTGAGAGAGTCAGAAATCGGGGCTGCTTGCATGGTCGTGGGAGATTGGTGGTTTTAGGGGGGGGGGAAGCACCGAAAATTTGGCCTCATGAGACCCACAACCATTGGGACGTATCTGTGGTTACATGGGGCGATCCACTGTATGGTGCTGACAGCCAAAATCGTCTTTTGGGTTTGTAGCAGAAGCTGTTCCTTGTGCCTGCAGATCATTTGCATGACCTTTCAACCACGGCATCAAACCTTGGGGCGGAAAGAAAGCTTGAAGACTATGCGCGTGTTTTTCGCGGGTGACCTTTCAAGGAGGGTTGGAAAGGAAACCAAAGGCCAGCCTAGCATTCTGGGGCTCCCTTATTTTGAGACAGACCCACAGGTTGCCGAATTTGTTTGCAGCGTCCAAGAATAGTCCAACAGGCAGCCAAAGCATTTTTTGTTGACGTAGTCAACAAGTGATGTAACATTAAGGAACTGCATCATCACATTTTTTCTGGAACAATATTATGTTCTTTCTAACTGTTCCAACCTATCTGAGGAAGCCTTCGTCTTTGTGCTTGTGACACTATTTGCAATTTGGATTCTGGAATAATACGTTTGTTCCACACCTCATTATTTTTGGCGTCATTTGTTTGATATTCTGAATGCCAACTCAATCCATCCAAATCAGACAACAAGCTTAGATGCTGAGCTTGCTACGTTTCAGCATTGGGAGCATGCCGCATACATGCAGCGGGGTGGGGCTGTTGCACATCCAAGGGGACACATGCGATGTGAAGGCCATTTTCTGTCGCTTTTATGGCAATTTGATCGCAAGCTCACCTCGGGGTAAAATGAGCTCATGGTGCTGTAGATGTTTTTACGTGGGGATCCATTATTTCGGGTTTGGAGTTATAGTCGAGAAGCACAATGAGGATCTTTGAGAATTCTAAGACTCTCGCGCAAACAAATCAGTTTTGGAGGACATGACAGCTTGCATCAACATTCCTCGTAGTTGATGGTTCTGAAGACTGACAAGCTTCTGGCAAGGTTTGGATGTTTGCAGCCTGACGGTTGGGATCATCGCGTAGGGATGTTGTTCACAGGCAACCCCGGATTCATAATTTGAGGGGGTGTATTCCGGGTGTATCAGCTAAGGTAAACATTTGTGGTATGTTTGAAAGATGGGGGAAATACAAGGAGTCCCGTAATCAATGCCTTAGACAACTGTCCGCAGACACTCCCGCAAAATACCATCCAAGGTTTTGGCTATTTTCCACAAGTATCAATCTTTTCTTTATGACTTTTCCAGGGAAACTTAAGAACCCAAGCCATATGATTTATGATTGTAACACACACAACGGCAACCCCAATGGATTTTATAAGAAATTGGAGGGCTCTTTTTTGTGACATTGTGGCTGGCTTTGTGGCTTGTGCGGCTAGCAACTCTTTTGCATCAAATACATGTCAACCAAGTCTAAACTAGCCCTACACCATGCACCGCGGCGTTGGCCTTTGGCGGCTGCAACTTTTGCAAACCAAATAGGTTACATCGTACACCAAACCCTCAACCAACTCTAAACTAATGCACCCAACACACAGCCAAAAGCCCAAAACAACAACTCAAGCCCGGAGCCAAGCCCAAAAGACACCCTACCCTCAGCCAATGCAAACCGAGCCCTACAATCACTTCGAAGACGCCCTCCGAACCAGCCCTCACACTAAACCCATGAATTCCTACTCAAAAAGAAGAGTTTACTAAAATGGGAATTCGAGTTGAACTCTTTTTGAACAAGTTGCGTTGCGTAAAGACAATTCTATTGGAAATTCCAAGTAAACTCTAATTTAAAATAGAACCATTCTTATTTAGACTCCAATTTGAAACAGAATCCTTTTTCGGTTCTTTTCCTTATCAAATTATATTAAGACTCCAATTGAAATTTAAAGCCATATCATCCATCCATAATTGCTATCTAAACATGTCTTCTATTTCAATTTATCCTGTTACACAAGATTTCCTGTCCAATAAAATTTGCTTTACAAATCAGTTAACTATAAAACACACTTTATTGCTACAGAGTTCAACATAATCAAAGCAAGTGCAAACACTAGATACAGACTTGCATGCACAAGCAGATTTATATAAAGAAAACAAGTGCACTCCCACAGACAACCCCTCAAGACACCGAAGGTGCTTCTTTCCCATTTGTGAGACAACACATCGCATCTCTCGCCACAGCTCGGCGCCTGGCGCTACCGATTCACGCTCAGGGCGGGCCAGGGGTTCCGGGTGAAGTCCTGGACCAGCTGCGGGAGGACTTGCAGGCGGGGTGATGAATTTGCTTTCGGTTGAGCTTTTCCTTCCTTGAGTTGTCTTGAACCTCCCGGAAAGTGGCGATTGGAACTTGCGAGTAAGTTGGGGTCTTTTGAAGGAAGTGGAATCCTGGACACTGAACACACGGAATAGTTTGGACCCACAAATGGTGATCACCTTTTGGTTGTCCTTGAAACCAACCCCCCCACCCCAAAAAAAGATCTCCGAAAAGGCACACGCCATACAAATACGAAGCACAGGTCATTCGCCTGATCGCAACAAGTCGTTGGGATTCGAATCCTGTGAAGGGTCCATGTCACATGATTCTTAGAGCATGATTGGTTGCAGCATTCGTGAACAATGTTTGGTTTGAAATCGATCAAGGGGCTGGCCTAACCCAGGTCAGGTTCCTTGCTTTGGGTTTAGTAGCAGGTTTCTTTTGCTTGGCCTCTGAACATCCAAACAGATGGGGCGGTTGAGGATTTACGCCATATTTGACTGACATGTAGCCTTGGGTTTTGTTTGAAAGGAGACATTACCAAAGAACCAGCCTGAAAAGGGATGGAGTCCTCTCCCCCGCCCCCCATTGTTTTTTTGGTTTCTCTTGAGAAAACCATTTGGGTTTAAGACAAAGTCAGGCAACCCTATCCGTTCCCTCCCCCCACTTTGACGCTTTGGGCTAGGCGCTGCTGGGCGCCAAGCGCAAGGCCCAAGAGGCACGCCAGCAGCTGGACGAGCCCTGGTGTGAGTGTGGTTGGGGGAAGGGTCGTGTGGTGTTGGCTTAGGGTTTGGGATTGCATGGAAGGCGAGTCTTGAGGCGAGTTTTCCGTTGAACTATGCATCTTTGAGCCATCCGAGGAGAAGGAGGCGAAGATCCAAACGATCCGCCAGGCGCAGCTTCCGGTGAGAGCGGTTCGCTGGTTTTCCTGTTCCTTGGGCACTTCCTTTTCGGGGACCCTGAATATCCTCTCTCTTGTGTTGGGCACTTCTTGGGAACTCTTGTCACTCTGACGTTTTGGAGGGAAACCCCCCCAAAATTCCCAGAGGGAATGGCATCTTCCGGGCTGCGCCGACCCGCTTTGGGTTTTTTGCTCCCTCGGGCGAGGAGCTGCGCTCCACGAAGCTGGAGGAGCTGGAGGACGACGTGGCCAACGCGAAGGCGGAGGCCAAATCCAAGGCGAGCCGATGAGAGATGGAGGTTGGTTTGCAACGGGAAGTTGGGTCTCAAAATAGGAGAGTCGTTTTTTCTTTGCAATTCCGCTTCAAGCTACACCGCAAAAGGGGGAACTGGAAACACCAAGGGAAAGCTTGAACACCAAAATGCAATGTACGGATTTTTCTCTTTTCAGTTCCGCTTTAGATCCCCAACGCAAGAGGGGGAAGTTGGAGGGTGCAAAAGCCAACGGTTCGTCTCAGAACAGGAGACACCCCCCCGAAAGAACGGGACTTTTCCATCAAATTCCGCTCCCCACCGAACAAGGGAGGCGGGCGGGGGGGGGTTCAGTTTCCCCCGTCTTGAGACAGATCCGTGCTTGCGTTCTTTCAGGCAGAGGAGCTCGAGAGCGCAGGCGCCTGGTTGGTGCACTTTGCCAAGGGAATGTTGGGACTTTAAGTTTTTGCCAACTAATTGGTTTTCCAGTAAACCGCTAAAAGTTAAGCTTTTCGCAGGGAGCGGAAAGCAACCGCACAGGTGGTTGGTGGACATGAATCCCGACCTGAATGATGCCCACCAAAGGGCCACCAATGAAACTTCGCTTTTGCCGGAGTCGTCTCCGCAGGATCCTCTGCCGAGGTTCCATGGCAATTTGTTTTCAAGGGTACTCTCAAAATGTCTTGCCTTGAACTTGAGATTTTCTATCATTGTTGCCTGTATGTGAGAACTGTATTTTATATACAGTAGCTACTTGTCCCATGCCCTTGGGAAGCGGCTTGCGGGGTGGAGAATGGCAGTCTTGTTCGCCCCACTTTTGGTTAAGTCGCCCCTTCCTCCCAGCCAGGTCGATAAATCAAAAAGCTGACCGAAAGTTTGCCTTGCTCAGAGAGGCGACTTGGCCGAGTCCCAGAAGCACCGCGACCAGGGCAAGGACAGGGCAAGGTCGGCCGATAGATGGAGCTATGGAGCTGCGGGGACCCGAAAGATGGATCTGAAGTTGGGATTCCAGTGGGGCTTCCCAAGCAGAAAACATGGGCTTCCTTCAAGCTGTGAAAGAATGCTTGATTCTCCATTGGAAGGTCCCAGGGATCAGAATTTCCCCAAGACAACCCCCAAAAGGTTTGGGGACCTGTGGCAATGAGTGCAGCGTGGACTCGGGCTCGTGTCCAAAAAGGTTGGGGCAGTATTGGGAAAGTCAAAGTGCGGTGCATCGGTTTGCTAGCGGGTTGGCAACCCCGCTGGATGATGTTCACACGCTCGCCAAATGATAAGTGTGCCCGCCCGCGAGCACCCGCCCAGCACTGCGCACACGCCTGCCAATGATGTCAGCTCGTGCGATTCCGGCCTTCAGTGTTGCTTGCGGAGTGCTCTTTTGCAGTCACGACAATGGACACATTTACCGCAGAAAAGGTTTTCAATGCATGCAAGCGCGATCTCTAGCGCTGTTACAGGCAGACAAGTTGCACGTTTGGCTTTTGAGCGGTGAACATGCATTTTGCTGGGGCGAGGCTGACATTTAGGACCTAACCCCGCAACAAAAACGTAGGCGGGGAGCTTGAATCAGACAGAAGATGATGTTTTCGTTAAGGCGAAGCAATTTCCGGTTTCCCCCTTCGCAAACCCCCACCCTTGCCTTGTCTGTGAGACAGCTAGGTTTGTTCTGCTAGGGGAAAGCAATTTCCAACTTGCGGTGCCGAATCGGTGTCCAAAATCACATGCTTTCCACAGTGCGATTGTCAACCAGGCGGGATTCTTTTGACGACACCCCTAAGGATGTATAGATGCTGTACGAACTCAAGAGCAGCCCTGTACAAACCAATTCTGGGGCATGCCAAAGTGAGCGGGCCGCTGGCCTCTTGTTTCCTGCAGTTCTTGTGGCCTGCTGGTTGGCTAAACCGGTGAGGCCTTTGTGTCAAGGACATCAGTTTTTTTTTTGGTTCAATCAAGATGTTGCAAGATCCACCCCCTTGATGGCTGAACACGGCGGCGTCCAACCAAATAAGTTGCTTAGTTACATCTATTGTTTGTTGGTTGGCATACTGACATCTTGCAAACATACCATAGGCTCAGACAGTTGGGGTCAGCAGCTGACATTTTTCCGAGGGAGGGAGGAATGTAGGAGCAGGACATGCAGGGACGGGGTGCAAAGTGCACCTCGAAGATGTTAAGTTACTGGACAGTTTCAGACTTCTTCCTTGAGGGTGTGGGTCTTTTGGAGGGGTGGGGAGACAATCTTACGAGACCTCGCGTAGGAGCTGCTTCAAGCGATCGTGGAAGTGGAGAATGAGGTGGCTGCGATCCAGAAGCGGCTCGCAAAGCTGCAGGACTGGCCGACTGGCCCCCACTCTGCTGCTGGTTCCCAGTGCCATGCCCTAAAGTTGGATCCATGGTCGGGTGATCTCCCATCAAATAGGATCAAGGAAAGACCCAGGGCGCCGAGAAAACCAGGGATCCATGGTCGGGCCTTGGACCTTGGACCTTGGGCAACCAGGTCGCTCCGCTTTTCTGTTCCTGTTTTTGCTTCGCTGACGGAGGACGAGCGTGTGCAGTTGGAGGAGTCGGCCCAGGAGCACGAGGAGCAGACCAGCAAGTTGAAGGCGGGCTGCAACATGCCAGGGGCGGCCCTTTGTCGTGTAAGTTTTGTCTTGGCAGCAAAGGCCACATCTGATTTGCGGGCATGCCAGATTTTGATACTTGATATGCACTTTAAGCAGAATGAGAAGGAGAGAATCCCAACTCGGGATGGGAAGAGCACCCCACCAAGGCATTCCCCCCTTCCGCCCCGAAGCAGCAGTGATAGTGAGATTCAAAAAGCAAACAACAATACGTATGATCGCTTCCAATGCCAGTTGAAGTGGTCCGAGAAGGTACTCCTTGATCCTTTATGGGGGGGCGGTACTTGCGCAAGCTGCGGCAGGAGAAGCGTGAAGAGATCCAGCGGCAGAAGGAGCGGTTCGTTGGGTGGTTTGGGCTTGTACTGGTTGATGAGACGTGTCATTTTTCACAGCCCTTTTCAGCTTGGCAGGGCCAAAAAGGGAACCACCATGTTTAGGGCCCCATTTTGACATACTCATATGGTTGTGTCGCTGTTTAGAGATTACAGGATTGCTCTTTTTATGGAAGCCAAAGGGGCATTCTTTTTTGAGTTTCCTTCAGTTGGAGACACATCCGTATGGCATACGTTTTTTTTTTGGGGGGGAGGTGTTCTTTTGGGGCTGGCAAAAGGAACGTCTAACATCTTGACGCATCTTCAAGCATGTTGAACCATCCCTGGTTTAAACAAGCTGCTTGTGGCAATCTTTCGCTTTCAGGGGTCAGGAGCCCAACCCAGCGAAGGTGTCACGAGCCCTTTTGGTTTGCCCAAGCCAATGCTTTTGGTTTTTCCAGAGGGAAGCCCCGTGTTTTCGAAGCCAAGTCGGCCGGTCTTTTCTTTATGCCAGGACCAATGCCAGGATTTCCTGGATGGGCTGGCTGGCATCGAGAGGGATCACCAGGACAAGAAGGAGGCCGAGAGTCTCGCGCCCTAAGACCTCTTGGTTTGCCTGAGATGGAAATTCTTTTCTTTTGGATTTTCTAATTATTTGATTGTTATGAGGCAATTCAAATCATAGGGATTCCCTTACAGGAAACCATAAGGGATTGCTCATAGGGGTCATTCCCTCATTCTCTGCTGAGCATTTGGCATCCATCGTTCTGGGTTCCAGGAGAGATCCTCAAACGATGTTTCGTTTGTGTTCCAGGTTGGATCATATGCAGCGCGTGGATCTTTTCAATATGTTTTGCATGGCTCAGGGGTGCTTCCCATGAGCCTTGGATTTGGAACGGAACACCCTCTTGATTTTGCTCGTCTTGCGAGTGCTGAAAAAGGTTGACACCGGACATGCATCCGAGCCTGTGGGGCACGGTGTCTTCTTTTTTTCTCGAGGGACTCCTTGGAATCGCGCCGGTGTTTTTTTTTCATTTTCAATCAACTATGCGCGGCTGGTTTGTGCCTCCTTTTGTTCCAACGCAGTTTTGCGAGTATATGCAAGACAGCGGGAGGGGTAAGGACCAAAATCAGCATACGCGTTCTCCAAGAGGGTTCTGTCTCTAGCGCTCCCTCTCAATATTCGCGAATCATGCCACAGGCCTGCGAAGTGTTGCGCCAGCAACTAGCGGCGGCGCGGGCAGAGCATCCAGGCAAAGGGCTGAGGGTGGCTGGGCTGGGGAGATGACGTTCCAGGAGAGGCTGGCAACGTCCACGGTTGTGGGCAGCTGTGCTTTTTCTGGCGTGCCGCAGACCTGCTTGCTTTCTTTGAGCCAGGAACTCTTGGGAGTGGCGACCCCGTCAACGTCTCTGGGTACTCAATGAATGAAGCAACGGAGAGCGAATCGACCGCATCCAAGCTGTTGGTTTCCCTGGTTGTTCCATGGTCAGGCCGAAAGGTGATTGGTCACTTCAGGGGCAAGTGAGATCACCCTCCAAAACCGTTGCTCCATTTTGGGACAGAACGAAAGAAAGGACGATGGCCAGGCCGCGCGGTGCGGCGGGAGGTGGGGGACTGGCAGGTGAGTCCGCAGATCCTGGCGCCAGGCGGGAGCAATGGGACCTATGGAAGAAACCCCAAAAGGGCGCCGTTGTTTGTGGGCGACCCTTCTTTCACGGAGAACAGAAGTCCCAGTCATGGGTGACCGAAAAGCCTCAGCTTTTGTCCTTTTTTTGCGTCCCCTCGGCCCACTTGGGCGGGATCTGAAGTGAGAGAGCGCGCCTCGCTGCCCATCGCGGAAGGATGCATTGCAGCTGGCTCGCATCAGCGTTTAAGTTCCAAAGGAAGTGCCTCTAACAATTCCACGCGCAAGTTCAATGTGGATGGTTACCTCAACCCAAAACCGACCCTTCATCTTTGTTCAGCCACCCCAAAAGAAGCTTATATTTCCCTCTCCGCAAAAGCGAGCCTGGCCTCGAGGCTTCTCGCTGGCCGCTTCTGGCGGCGCTGACGGCTCCTGGCGGTTGCTGCGGTTGCTGCGCCTGGCGGACCAGGCGAATCTCTCGAGTCGGGCGGAGAGTCGGGTCGGAGAGCGGGGGCGAGAGAGTCCAAATTTCATCGCCGTTGCCGTGGGTCAAAACCAATGGGATCCCATTTTGGTTGGTAGGTGAATTCACCACCCATTTTAGAACCTATTTTGGTGGTTGGATTGGGATGTTCACTGGGGGTACGGGGTGTTGACCCATGGCCAAATAGACGCGCAAGGCTTGCTGTGTCAGGCGGCTGACTGACAGGGGAGCAGCCACGCACAGCTCCGGCACGGAGGCTAGATGGACATAGTGGTCTGGGAAAATGGCCTGGGCCATGCCCGCCCATTTTATTTTTATTTTTAGAAGGCATGCCTTAGAGGTGTGGTGGGGACCCGGGGCTAGCGGTGGTTCGCGAAGCACTTGGTCGATCTGCTGTTTGCACGCTGGGGTTCGTTATTTTTGCTCCAGATAGCGATAGTTTGTCTTCATCTTAATCTTTTTTAGATTATAGGTTTGGCGCGTCACGTGAAATCGTTTTGGTTCAGATCCACGCAAACACACAGACACAGATTCAGTTAATCTCCTCTTGCAATACGGTGAACAACCAGCCAACCTAGATCCCATTTCTTCTGGGGCAACCCCCTCTTTCCCTCGTTCGGGGCAACCCATTCTCGGGGAAGCCCCAAACAAAACCAAAAGTTAACTTGGACCCCGCCCAAATCTCCGAGGTCTTGTCGCTTTTTCTAACGACCGAAGCGACCGCCGCGGCCGCGGCAGCGGCCGCTCCGCAGGTCCTGCCCGCGCTGCGCCGGGAGGACGGCGACGCGGACGGGCGCTTGGAGGCCTCGGAGCTGGCGCGGGCGCTGCGGAAGCTGGCGGGGCCCGGGCGCCTTGGCCGAGACGTGGCTCTGGTGCGGTCCGGGGGAAGGGGTGTGTGGGCGTTTCCGTGGGGGGGTCGGTCGGTTTTGCAACCGCGAAACGAGGTGGAGGGGATTTGAGGCTTGAATTTTAGGAGTTGGTTTCAATAAGTGCGGGTTTGCTGGCAGGAAGCGAGGTCGGATCAATGACTCGACTTCGAGTTCTTAGTGCCAAAGGACAATCTTGTGTAGAATCTAAGAGAGACCCATTTGTTGGCACCCTCCCTGAAAGGCATGCCCGAAACAAGGAACACCTTTTCTTTTGAAGGCCTGTTGAACTCTAGGAGAACGGGCATTAGCGGCGACCATAAGGGGCATTGAGGATCAAGGGCGCGTTGCTCCCGTTTGCCCTGAAACAGTATTGGATTTGAACTGACTCCAAGCACCCTCCAAGATAAGCAGTGGAAAGACACCACTCGGTCAAGGTGATGTGGTTCATTTTCCCTTGAGACAAGGGGCAACGAGTAGGAGTTGTTGCCTGTTTAGCTCCTTGTTTCCCAGGTGTTTGAGGACCTGGGGCAGACCGGTCTTGATCCACAGATTCGGAGGTAGCCATATTTCAACCTATATGTTGAATGAAGAGGCATTCAAGAGGAGTGACTGTTTCTCAGATCGCTCAAGGTGAAAAAGCATTTTACCTCCTAGGCGGACGAGGAACATTGGGGAGCAACTTGAGTGCGACTAGTAGACCTTCCGTCCCTCCCCGATTTGGCAACTTGTCAAAGCTTGGGTCCCTTCAAACTCCGGAACGGTCCCACACCCTTTCCCCACGTCTTAAGACTCCTTACCTTCACTGACTGCCGTTTTGTGGGAGGGCGGAGGCGGAAGTTTGCATTTAGAGCGGCGTTTTCTCTGAATCAGTCAAAGTCAAAGAGCAGACGTGGATTGTCCCACAAAAGAGCGGCCCAATTGGTTCCGAGACCTCTCGGATGGGAACTGTCTTTTTGGCTCAACAAGGGTCCGAAGCGTTTTGAGCCATTTTGTGGAAGGGGACTATTTTTAGCTGGGAACACCCTCCAAAATGGCCGTTGGTGGTTGCATCCATCCCCATGTTTTCTGATGTCCACCAAGAGTTACCCAATTAGCATTCATCAAAACCTTTGGAAGGACCCTCATTTCTTTCTTGAGGTGTGTGTGTGTGTGTGTGTGCGGAGTGGCAGAATACCCTGCCACCAAACCTTTTTTCGTTAGCAGGGGGATGCCGGGGACCTATGCGGTCGGCATCCAACGAAGACGCCGCATTGGTCCTGTGATATCGAGGCTGATCACCTCGACGTACCTGTGCATCTCGTGTGATTCAAAGTCTTTTTGGCCCCCCTTGGTTGCGGCGCTGTTTGTGCTTCTTGTTCTTTCGGGTAACGTGTTCGCTGCTAGACGGAAACCAAGTGAATGCAAGCCGAACCTACACCCACTCGAGACTCATCAGTTGTACTCGAGACTCATCAGTTGTACTCAAACGATTAGCATTCTCCCTTGGGAGTTGAAGTGTGATCACCCCAGCTTGGGGGAACCTCGGGTGTACCCATTGTGTGACCCCGGGCCGGTTCGCCGGAAAATTTGACCTCAACGTTCTTATGTGAAATTCCAGCGGAATTTCACGTTTAAGCAGGAACGAGGTTTCACTAAAGGGATGACAGCCACCTCTTCATAGCTACGTCTCACACACCTGGTGGGCGCCGCTGCTTGCCGATTCCTTTGTGCCTTGCTGTGTTGCCGTTCTCTTTTCCCAGCTGCGAGCATGCTGACCACCTTACATGCTTGGGTTGATTGAGTTGTGTGGATGCTCTTGACATGCTGCCCAGTGGTCTTTGATTGATCAATACGCATTGGCATGACCTTGAGTTGTCTTTGATTGTGGTTTGTCGTTCTCATTCTTCCTCAAGGATGAGCTTCGCCACCGAGAGCTGCCGCACTCACCGTGGGCAGAGAACTGGCGGGAGTAGAAGACTGCGAGAAATTTACCGGAGGTGGATCTTTGCGGGCATTCGCCGTAGAGGGAGGCGATGATCTCTGTGATGCCGAACACTGCGCTTGGAGTAGCTCATGTTCACGTTTAAGGTTGTGATACTTCTGCAGCGTGTCATCTTCCGGAGAATGGGCTTCGAGGGTTTGATGATGTTGATGAAGGAACTCAAGTACGAGATTGCCCAAGTGCTCATGGACCTTGGTCCGCGGATTGAAGTCATCAATGTTGAGGCCCATCGAGCTTGCAAGGTCCTTCTCCAAAGTGAGCAAGTTCAGGGGCTGGGATCGGCGTAGGAGCTTCGAACAAGTACTCCAAAGCAAGGCCTCGGTGCGCGTGCGAAATCCTTCCCACGTCACAAATCGTCCGTGAGCAAACGGCCTCAGCTCCCGGATGTCCGTGCCCGACATATCGCGTTGCGAATTATGCGGGGTGTTGGCGACAGTCATGGGCAGGGTGAAGGAATAGAGGTGGTTCTTGTCCAGCAAGCCCTCGCCAGGTTGCCACTCCTCCAGTGATGTCAGCCAAGTTTTCTGAGGTTGTACTGGTAACGTAGTCGGATGGCCAGTTGCTGCCGTAGGTTCCGGATGATGTCCTTGTGTGTTGCCAGGTGGCGCCATCGTCATCTTCATGGTCTTGGCGGGCGCAGGCTCCGGAGGGAACGGCATCATGTAGTTGACCGGAGGGTACTGGTGGAAGCCTGGCGTCGAATGATGGAGCTGTGCTGACGAAGAATTCTGCAAGTAGTTGTTTTGCAACAGTGGAAAGGAACTGGGAGGGTTGAAGTTCAGGTTGTGCTGCCAAGTCATCGGGTTGGACCAATCCATGCCGTCAGAGACTAAGGCGGAGTCATGATCACGTCTGCGAGCTTTACGAGGGGGAGTGGGGCTCCTGTCTGCGTCGAGTTCTGGATCTGTCACGTTCATCACGCCGAGACATGACGACACAGCAAAACTCACCTCAGAAACAGCCTCGGATTATCCAATCTCTGCGCGGCATGTTGCCTCCACCTACCAAGCAGGCAACATCGAAGTTACTCACGACACACAGCACGCCAGAAGATACCATCAAGCACTACAGCTGGACCAGTGATCAACCTCGCGTCTTCCTCAAGCAGGCCCCTACAACCACCACCGTGCCGTCGCTGATGAAGTGGGCCAACCATCCATCTCGCCTCAACGGCAACAAGTCTCTGGATCCCATGGCAGTTCAGCTTCATCAAGCACGTCAACGTTTGGCAAAAGGAGATGCTCCTACTTTTGCTTCCATGGCTTCTTTGTGGGGGCTTGAACCAGTCTACAGTACCAAGCTCTCGGACAAGGCGCTGTGCCTGCTCATTGTGGCAGCTCGACTTCTTGCCGGCTGAAGTGTTCCTCCCTGGCCAGTATGAGCCCGGAGTGGCAGACTTGTTGCGTCGTGATTTGCGCTTGAAAACTTGTATGCCGTTGACTTGTGTGCTTGTCATGACTTGTGAGTTGTCCGTCACTGCACTTGTCTGATTCGTTTGCACAATTGTCATCATGTGGAATTGTGTGACTTGAGCATTGAGTTGAGTATATGCATATCGCTGCCACCTTGTAGCCGTGATTGACCAGAGGTGCATCATGTGGACTGAGCTTCAACGCAGTGGAATCCTCGATGATGTTGTACAATGGCACACTCTGTCTACTTTTCTGGAAACCTTGACGTTTGTCTCAGCATGCTGGGGGTTTTGTTTCCCTGAACTCCCACTACCAACAGTACCTCCTGATGAGTATGAATCGATTCAACAATTACCTCTGTTACACCTCATGCTGGAAGTGCTCACCCTTGTCCGCATCGCTCTTCAGATTCCGATGACGGCTATGTCACATACCCGACACGCGGTGGCCAATAGGTACGAGATCCACAGATGCCGAATCACAGCGTATCTCCTGGTTTGCTTCTTGCAGCGACTCATTTCGCAGGACCATGGATACATCCCTCCGTTTTTTGAAGTCCTTCACTTCTACAAGACGTTGCTGCTTCGTGAAGTCATGTACTCCACTTTCGCTGATCTGCGACACCTCAAATCTCTCCGTGCTCGCCTTCCCGACCTGTACGACTTCATCCAAGATCCGGGACATCATCAACAGCCGTGCGTCTACGTCAGGCTTTCACCATGGCACAGCCCATACTACATTGGAGCTACAGATCAAGATGTTCTGCAACTCCTGCGTGGACAACATGCTTTCTTTGAACCAGCACTTCATTATTGGAAGAGATCCAACAATTACTGGCTGTTCTGTGCTATTCCTATTGAGATCAGACTTCCCACTTTTTCGGTGTGGGTCCAAGAAAGTAAATGGCAATACACGCTTCGCCCGCATTTAAACCCTGGGTACACAGACTTCTTCGGAAAATTGGCTTCCGTGAACATTTTGTTGACTTCAGACGACACTCGCTATCATCACCTACGTCGATATCCCTCCACAAGCGGTTTCGGCGGCGGCTGCATCCCAATCTACATCGTCAACTACGGCTTGAGATGCTGGACGACATTCAGGCACATTATTCTACTTTGTACCAGCTGGGATCTAATACAGGTGCGTCGTTTCAAACCATGCGCGGTCTTTTATCGGCGGCCTTTCCTTCGACTCAACTCTATTATTTCCTGCGGCTCTCTTCTTTTGTCAATGAGCCGTTCCGCTCCAAGGCTCAGAAGCTTCTTGCTTAGGTTTTGCATAAGCGAGCGCTCCAGGTCCCAGCCACTATGACACAATTACTACTTCCACCTCTACATGTTCGAGACTGGAAAGCTAAACTTGGAACCTGGTTGCAACGGTGGGTCGCATCTCATCGCTGTCTTTTCCCTTCCTTATTCCTTCCTAAGATCCGAGTCGTTGAAACTCGCAGTGCGACCTTGGGTGATCGCATATACAACTACCGCAAATGGCAGCAAAGATGGGCCGGACACTTCTTTCCCGTGCCGCTGCATTGACGTGGATGACCGCACCACTTTTCGTGCACATTCTCATGCTGTTATCTTGAATGAGTTTCAATGTATCAACACCAACATTGATTCCGACATCATGTCTGCCTCCATGAAGGATCAATACTTTGGGGATGTGGACAAACTTCAGCAGCGTTTTGTGTTGCAACTTCGCAAATTGGCTCGCCGATGGAAGGTACAAGGGTCCAGCTTTAATGCAGACTCCCAGCCCATTCTGTCTGAGTTGTTTGATGAACATCGCTCCCATGTTCAAGACCAGGCACACTGGACCTCCGAGTCATTGCAGCACACGGCTCATGCTCTGACAACGTGTTGTCATTCCTGCGGGTCATTTCCCTTCGCGTGCTCACGTGATTTGCCCGACCTTGTTTTCCACTCTGTTGCGCAAAACCTTTTGCACAGGAGAGGTATTTGCATTTTGCAAGGAGCCAGCCGCATCCTTTCGTGCCGAAGTCGTGACTATGATACCTCCTCGACTACAACCACGCTATGTGTGGGGGCTACGACTTCATGCACCCCTTCCTACAGCCCGCATTCTGCCCAAACCGACCAAGGACTGGCTCAAAGCGAGACCAATCATTTCTTTCTTTCGCACGTGGGCAGCTCCTCTCCTGACCG